ACTATTTGAAATTTATTAAGTATTTTTTAGTGTAGCAAACACAAATTTTATTTGATAAAGTGAATTTATTAAAGCTGCAATTTTTAGATAATAAAAAATTAATTTTTTGATTTATTGAATTTAAAACTGTAGAGAAATTCAATTACATTTTAATGAAGTGATACTTTTAAAATGTTTATATTAATTTCGGGTATTCTCTAGGTCTTGCAAAAGCCTTGTACGGTGCACGCATTGCACAGTGGAACCGGTTTACCTATGCAAAACGTACAATCCGTACACCGTGCGAGGGTTTTGCAAGACTTGTATTAACATAGCAGTATTTAATTAAATATCAGTAACACCTTGTCCCTTCAACTCGCCAAGGACGCACGTCGCCGCAGCAAAGGCGCGCTCGCAACTGCAGAGTAAAGAAAGTGAGTATTTAAATTTGAATTTTGTATAGTTACTAACTACTTACTTATCGATTTGCTTTTCAGTTTCTTCGGAGCACTTTTGGAGAACTTTTATCAGCTTTTCCTTCTCAATTTGAGGATGGATAATTTTAAAAATTTCTACGACTCTATCTTCATCAATAGAATTCCCAGCATTGATCTGAAAACCATTTAGAAATATGTACACATGTTCTTTTAGCGCGATACAAAAATCAATTAAGACTAAGAAGCTCATAAAATATAAATATGTACTGCGTAACTATATATAGCGCATTAACTAAGCTGCCCTTGAATTGCCCTAAAACCCGAATTAATAGACTTATGAATCCAAACTTGAAACCAAACGCAATCCGTTCAGCCTCCGTTTTGTAGTCATTTTTTAATTAATGTGGGATTTAAACTGTTTCAAGTTGTTTTATAATATAGTATAGTAGTTTTTAATACACATAAACCCTGATTATTAACTAATTCATCCATCGGGGGAGGGTACCGTTACTTCGTGAAATTGTCAAAAACTAGGTGAATTTTGTCTGTGCGAAGACAGTTAAAAAACCTATCCGAATCATATCAGCGATTTTTTAGAGTTTGTTTCAAGTTATGTTAACTTCAAATCAAGACTAATGAGAATGTTCGCTGAGGTTCGCTTCATAGTTTTTTTTTCTATTTTTTGGTGACTCCTTAAAATATATAATGTAGACAGACCATTGCATATGAAATTTTTTCAAAATTAAATTAAATGTATATTTTACTCGGTCTAACCGATTGCGTAATTTTTGTGTGTATTTTGAACGTGGTAGTAAACCGATGATTTTGACTTTTTTTGATATATGTATAATATAAAGCTACCTATAAAATTGTATCAAAATCGAAGTACATTTAGTATTGCCGCCCACTAGTGTGGAGGGTGCGAAAGCTACTTAATTTTCAACATATTGAAAAATTTCTTCTTTTCACAGTTAAAAAAAGTATTAGACAAAAATTCAGCGGAACCGGAGCACGATTACTATTTTTGGCCGCAGATTATATGGAGTCGCGACACTGTGCTTCGTATCCTTCTCGCATATTGAATCTTTCTGTCTGTTTATGACATCCGGTCAAGGCTGACGCTTGAACTAAGCCTCTTGTTTATATGAAAGTTTGACCAGTTGTGCCTATTTGTTTCGGATGTTGTTGCTGAGATGCTTCTTACATAATTTGCAGTAAGATAAGCCATTTAGATCTTATATAAAGTACCTAATCGTGATTTATAAATCGTTGCTGGCCAGGCAACATTTTTTGTAGAAATTAAAACGCCATTAAAGTGCATTTGTGCTATGCTTATGGAACGTACATATTTACATACATATACATATGTATATGTGCGTATTTTCCCAACTATATAAACTTACCAATCCATTTTTTCTCATAATACAGTAACGCAAACATTTCGTATTACGCAATAAATTATCACGTGAACCCCTTAATAGCTCATCGAAGCCCTCTGCAATGGGCCGAAAATGTTTTTGGCATACATCATAAAATATATTGTAGTATACAGACCATCGGTTATTTCTACTTTAACATTCTGATCCGCATCCTCATAGCAATCCTCAACTGCAGCCTCTGCCATGGTGCGTAGCGAGTCATAATGTGGTGGTCGAGGGTCAGCCAGCATCGAAACTGTTAATTTGAGAGCAAATTAATGAAAAATATGAGATCACCTTTTTTAAGCCCCCACCTGGCAGCAATGATATTGCTAAGCAAATCGTAAGAACACTAAGGACTCTCATTCCGCAGATTCGTACAAGGTTTATGAATAGCAATCGAACTTCAACTGAAAATGAAAACACGTTTCACTTCCAATTTTACTTATCTAAATAATTAAATTAGAATTTTCGTTTAAAACCTGTGAAATTCATTTATTCTGAGATGCGACTACAATAGGTTTTGTATGGGAAAAATTATTTAGATAGCGAAACGTAAATCTATGTGCTCATGTAGATACTTACATACATTATATATTAGGGTGGTCCCATATAAGATGCGGCAAAGAGTACTAAAACTGATCCGACTTTACTGAAATATGATGCGTGAAGCATTTTTGCTTAGGAATGAAAAAAATTTAATAAATTAAAATATTGTTTATATATATTTGGCCGTTAATTGAAAATTCTATAAATTAAAATAAAAAATAAAATCTTTTTAATATACCACGTTTTTATAAATGGACTTAGTCCCATAGAATTTGTTTTGATAACTTTTGATTTTGAAATTTTAGCTAAAGTCATTATAAACAATTTATGAGATTGAAAACGAAAAACGTGGAGCGCATGCAATACAAAGAATTAGATTTAATTGACAATAGTCAAACTACATAATATAGAGCTAAAATTTCTACAGCGCAAGTACAAAATTTGAGATCGATTTTAAGCGATCGTTATTCATACAGACAATTTTTTGTTTTAAATGACAATAATATTGTAACTCTACAATGCACCAAATCTTTTAAATACTTTTTGTATTCAATCATATCCTAGAAATTTCAAAGTCCCTAAAAAAAATGATGACGTCAGAAAAAAAAATTAAAAACGCAGTTATACGCTCCTAGTTTTGTGAATATGTTGATTTTTTCGTGTTTTAAAATTTTTTGGTTTTTGTCGCACGGTGTAACAAATCCCGTTGTTTTACAAAAAATGAAGCTCCTAACGAAGAAAATCAACGGAAAAACACAGAAATGTGTGAATGAAATCAGAGCAGGAAATAATGTTATTCATACGTCATACTCGTATTTACATATATACATTTATCAAATGCTCGTACCCTTTTTAGCACAAAAAACGGTATAATACTGCGAAAAATTACATTTCGAAGTATATCCATTTAAAAATAAAAGCATTTTTAAAGTACATTTGTACAGATGTGTGTATTTTTTATACTGGGCTATAGGTACAAAACAAAAAAAAATCGAGACTAAAATTTGTATTGTAATCACACAATTGGTACAACACAGCGAACTTCTATTGAAAAATGTATACAAGTACACTTAACTATAAGCAAAGTAAATAAATTTGTATACATTTTGTGTATAGATATGTAGTACATATTTTAAGGCTTCGTCTTCTGCATAAACATCCGCAGTCTAGTCATGATTGGGATAAAGAAAAATATTTATTCATTGACCCGATTGGGGTACGATTTCCACCAAATTTTGGGCGAATGCCGAACTGCCTTAGCAAAAGCCATGGAAATCCAAATTTCTCACCTTGTACATTAGACAAATTCAAAAAATTTGCATAACAACAATATTCTATGTAGTTTAAAGTGTCTTCAAAATAGCTTTGATTTTTGAAAAGTTTTTTTTTTGCGACTACGTCATGCAAAACTACTGTCGGTGCATTCCAAAAGTCTTATTTGCCCAACCTAGATGAAAACTACCATCTAACCGTGGTTGCGTACATTTGGAATTACAATCTACTAAGGTTTAGAAATAAAAGACACTGATGCTTTGTATTTTGACGTTTTGGAATGCAACCTCTTTGCGACAATTTGGTTTGTATGGAACGCCAATTCTTAGCCTATTGAAACTCTCACCTTATTACACTGTGAGACAAATGGTAGGGGTCAGTGATCGGGAAGGGTTCAAACTACCGGGGAAAGTTATATCGGTAAAAAAGAAGTTATACATGTCCCGGCGTTTCGCTGGGTCACGTCTAGGAATCGAGATATATCGATTTGAAGTTAGTAACTATCATATAGGGGAAATTGTCACCTTTTTGTCTTTTTTTTGCCATAACTCGAGAACCACTAGTCCGATTACAATTCCTTTAATCTGTTCATATAACGTTTTTCTATATAATCAACAGTTTTGCCGTTAAAAATAAATTAGGCAAAAATAATTTTTTTTTTCTTCATACATTTATTTTTACCGGCAAAACTGTTGAGTATATAGAAAAACGTTATATTAACAGATTAAAGGATTTTTAGATTAAGAGATTAATGAATTTTTTTAAGTTTATTTGAGCAAAATCGGACTAGTGGTTCTCGAGTTATGTCAAAAAAAAGACCACCAAAGGTGACAATTTCCCCTATATATATGTGGCAACGCTATGCTGCGTACGAAGAACTATTTAATCAGCAACCCTTATTCTATTACCTTTTGTATTTTAGTTGTAAGCAACTCTTTTCCCTTTTCTTCCTTTCCTTCTTTCTTTTCCTTCTTCTCATTTTTCTGGTGAAACAATAAAGACACGTTTTTAGCGAGTACGTAAGATTAAGCAAATTCTTTGAGTTCCTCTTTTCGGATTCAGGATACAGTCACAAGATACTAAAGTGGTGACCCCGAACAAGTGTAGCTAATCTTGCAATGGAAGAACAAGGAGAAAACCTTAAACAGGCACAAGCATCACCCCCGGCAAACTTTCAGCCACCAATGCAGCTGACCCAACCTCATACCGTTT